TTCCACCTGTCACTCAGGCCAGTTGCTGTGGAAACGCAATCAGACAGGAAGCTTGCTTCACCTGCGGGTAATTACCTCCTCCCCTGTGTCCTAGTAAAACAGGCTGTTTAAGGTCTTATTTAAGGCAGTGCTTAAAAGTTAACACCTGAGCCTTTCAAACCCTCAGTCCTGTCTTCCTGTCTTCCTGTCTTCCCGTCTTGAGCTCTGTTTGAACCCTCAACCCTACCTTGTCTCTCCCTGTCTTGACCTTGTATCTCAGACTTTTCCTTGGTGCCTTGAACTGTAATTTACAAACCTTAATGAGCTGTGTTATGAACCTTTCTGCTTACTCCCGACCTAGGCTTGTGTATCTCCCTTTTGTGCTTTAATTGCGATGGCTCCCTTTTTCTAAAAAAGCTTTTTTGCTTGTGAAAACTGACTTAAAACTATTTTAATGTTATAAAAACGTATTTTTTTGTAGCTGGAGAGCAAATGTTTTGTCCATTCATGTATACGTTGTAGTTAAACAATCCTGCAGAACATAATTCTCCTCTGTTATATTGTACTGAAGTACTGTACAGTACTCTACAAAGGTTAACAGTGTATTTATTTGACTGTTGCTGCTGTATAAATCCAGCAAAACACTGGTTTTTATGGAATGTACTAAAGTGAGCTAGTAAGACCTCATAGGTAGCAGAATTGCTCACAGTTCAGGAAGAGAACAACATGTATAAATGTTTATTGAATGTTAAGGTTAATTATTTTGTTCTTATTTTGCATTTTATACAATATAAACAGAAAATACAGACTAAGACAATAAAGACATTTTGTTGATTTAATTCATAAACATTAGACAATATAGGGATGAACAGTGGCTGGAAGAACACTGTCACAAAAAATTCAGCTCCCTCTCAGCTCCCCGTGTGTTACCCTAACAATGTTTTCTCAAGCACTCCCTCAACTTAAGTGGCTGCCAAGAGTATGTTTTAGTGAGAACTATCCATCCATTCATTTTCTAACCACTTGATCCAGTACAGGGTTGTGGGGAGCTGGAGTCCCCAAGAAGCAACAGGTGCAGAGTGGAGTATACCCTGGACAGGCTGCCAGTCCATCGTGGGCAGATAAACACACTCGCACCAGGGACAATTGTACAGAAGCCAATTAACTTGCCAGTGTGACTTTGGACTATAGGAGGAAAAAACACCCTGTGGAAACCCACACAAACACAGGGAGAACATACAAACTCCACGCAAATAGCACCCCAGGAACTGAACCCAGGTTCCCAGTGCCCATTGTGCCACCAAACCTCTGAAAGTGAACTAATTTGTTCTAAATTAAAAAACAGTATATAATCTTGAGATGTGTTGAACCAAACCCACGCAAATTAAAATCTCGTAAAGGCAATATTACCTGAACATACTGCTTTCATGAGCTTGTGCATATTGACTCCTCTGACTCAAAAGTGAGTCAGAGGAGCCTCCCCTCATGTCTTTATTCTCTCTGTGAGAGAATTATTCTCTCTGTTGTCGCTATGAACAGCTGGCTATTTCAAAATGAGTGGGTATATAACCCCCCAAAAAAACCCAGTGCTTCTAAATGTATATGAAAAAAAATCTCGTGTAACTATTGAAGCAATAGTTCTTTTTGCACCTGTAACAGGGCTCAGTGTGCAAGATCCCTTTACAAAGCTCTGAAAATAAAAACACTCGCAGTAGAGACTCTGATCTTGTGAAGTAGCCACTGGCAGAGTTCTCCAGAGTCTGAGAGCTGCTATGAGTGCAATGTCATCAGCTAGAGCTGCACTGTAAAGGCTGTGATGCATCCAAACTATGTTCTTTATGTGTAGTATGAAAAGGAATTTTTTTTTGTCTGTACTTGCCATAAATAACTCAAGATATTTTTCCTTTCATTCATTTATTTAAATGTATTTAATTAATTTAAGTAGTACTGTACAATGGGGTGCATTCCATAATAATGAGTGAGAATCATTTTAGTAAAAAAAAAATGTTTTGTATGACTAAATGATACCAATAATTTCACAAAAAATATTTGACCTAATTCCTGTTTTTACCTAGTTTCCTTAGCTGTAGACATTATACATTATCTTTTATATTATTATATTATATTATATTGTATTATATTGCCCAATGATATACAAAAATAATGCATTGAAAATTGCAACTTCACTTTTTAATTTATTAAGTTAATTGTAGTTAACAAACTAAACTAATCAAAACTAAAGCATCCTACAGAAGTCGTAATTTTTAAGTGAAAATGTAATCCATGAATTCTATCTTTAGATGGTAATAAACATTTTGACTCTGAAGCCCCAGTCTACTACTGAAGCCCCTTAAAGGGCTACTGCATGGTTTCTATATGCAGAAGCAGTTACCACTTACCACTCCAGTTCCTTACTAGTATTAATACTGGATGCTTTCCGTTGTTTATGTTGTTTTTTTTCACTTTCTGCAGAACAATTTTAATAAAATGTAAAAATATGAAATGGCACAAAGAACATACTGATGCTCATGTAACAGTTAGTCTTTATAAATCCTATTTCAGAAAGCCCCCCCAGATACACAGACAGTGTATTTCTGTTTTATTTTAAGTGTACTTCTTTTCTTTTTATAAACAGTACGTGTGCACTATTTTTTAGAATATAGTGATAATGACTGTTCTCTGTATTGTTTCCATAGAATATCATACATTGTATAAATGTCTGACCTCTTGTAGACAGCCCCGTACAGCACATAGGCTTAAAAAACTCAGCTAAGCTATCCTGCAAAGTGGTCCTGTCTGTAGAGTCTGATGAGCAAAATAAAGATGGTAAAGACAGCTTTAAAAGGAGAACTGAAAAACTTTTACTCTTTTTCATAATGATGGATGTTCTATGGGAGTAATGTCAACAGAAATGGAAAATTTGCTAAACCTCACAAACCCCCGCTCTTTCGCTTTTGTGTGTTTCCTCTTCCTTCAGTTGGCTAGCTGCTAGCTCAGTGTTCACAGCATTCGTTTATTTAGGTCTGCTTCTAAGTACAGTTAATTTTCCAAGCAGTTTCAAGTCAAATACTTAACAGGACAGACCATTTAGAGAAAGACTTTGGCAGGGAGCCATGCAAATGAGAGCCATGTTTAAGCTGTCTGAACTTCATTTTATTTTTAAGAACATCTAGGTTAAAAGAATGAACATCAAAGCAGGGACTGTTTAGCATGCAGACATACAGTTAACAAATCATAAAGCACTAGTTTAAGGAAGCAGAATTATTCAAAAAGTTCTCAATTTTTATATATTTTTAGCATTGAAAATCAGCTCTAGAGAAAAGATTTTCAAAAAATGAGTCTAAAAATGGGAACACCACTAATTATAAAATACTTGAATGAGTCCTGAGGTGTGTAATATTAAAACTGAAAACCACTAGCACTATGGGAGAATTATCAGAATTTCTACACCTGTCAGCATCAAAAGCAGAAATGGTTTTGCATATACCACATGCTTAACTGCCTCATTGATAGGCATCAATGTTGTCTAGCATAATATAGCAAGATGATAGTACTCAAGCTATGCAAAGCACAGAATGTTTGCTTGAAGACTTGGAAAAATTGTAATAGAGAAAAAATAATATCTCAACCATTCATGTCTTGATTATAAAAACATGATATTTGTTTACGATCTGTGAGAACACCTAAGTGACACACTATTACTGTTTTATGCTTGCTATTTTTAAAATTCAACCAAACAATTTGCATCAGTATAATATCAATATTCGCAGGAAACAGTGAGCAACCTTAAAAATCTTGTGGTTTTGGAAATGAAAACTTTCACCTGAATGTATTCTTTTTTTAAACCATTAGATAGAAGTACAGCATTTGTGGTCCTGAAGCCGTGTTTTCAAGGGAACTATTTGAAACTATCAGTTTCGTTCTGCTCCCAGGTCCCTACTACATTCATAATATTAGGCACTTTAAGAAGAAAGCTTGTGTTACTAAGCAACGTTCCCAGCATGTCAGTAACATTGAGTTTCAGCCATTGCCTCCAACTCACAGCTGGTAGGTTTATGACAACAACACCAGAATTAGGGAAATAAAGATCTCCTTATTTCAAATTTCAAATTGTTGTAATATTTTTTAGAATAAAACATGTCTATGATGTCAAAAGAATCTTTTCAAGACTGTTAAAATGCTTTTATAGGTTAAGCTGGTATTTAATAAGCAGACTAAAAAAACAATAATATTTAATATACTGTTCCTCTATAGTTCTGATCATATTTGATTAAATAAGTAATATGTGATAAACTGTTGAGTAAAACATTAAGCCGACAAGTAATGAACTGCTTTCTGTGCCCACAGATGCATAATTTGCCAGTTTATGTCTCATGCTACATTGCCATGCTGTTTTTTCACAGGATATGAAATGTCACCGAGGTCACCAAAAAAGAAAATAAAGCAAGAGTTGACATATTTTTCTTAGAATGAAACTATTTACAAACACATGTTTCATGTTAACCACAGGGGCTGAGGGTTTGGGATGGACTGTCTATGAGATATAACGATTTCAAGGTTGTAAGTTTGTTTTCAGTGTCGGACGGCAATGATCAAATCAATTTTGCTTGTTGAAGATGAAGAGCCTAAAAGCATGTTATCTGTTGGGTCTTTGCTTCAAATTTAAAACAAAGCTATGTCAAGAAAAGCGATAGCTTTGATAAAGCCAGGCAGTCAGTAACATCGAAAGGAAGTGAATGTAAGGTATACTAGTATTAAACGGAGAGTAATTTTGTCTCCCTCGGGTGTTGTCTTTGTGATCTTTTTTGTTTTTGTGTTACTCTGCTTGGAATAACAGAATCATTCTGCAGCCTGTGAAGCTCTTAGAGCTGCTCAAACAGCAGAACCGCATTCCGGGTCCAGCTGTGCCTCTCCACAGTGCTGCAGCTTTGTAATGACTGGTATGAGACCTCTCCGGGGTCTGGGAATAATTAAGGGTATCACAGAGAGGAAAAGAGAATAGTCTAGAAAACACTGCTTACCCCTTGTTCGGTTTCCAGAGGCTCTGCTTTGACTCTGACTGCCGGCATCCCGTCAAGCATTAACATTGTGTTCTAAATGGCGTCTGTGCTCTGCAAAGAAAACAAGAGGAAGGTGTAATTAAAACAACCAACATTTAAAAGACAGAAAGTGTGAGCAAATCCCCCAAAAAACTATGATTATTACCATTAGTGCATTGTTCCAGGAAAATTGTGAAATCTTTGTTCTGACCTTCTTGGTAATTGCATTATTTTATCAGGTATGCAATTACTGTGATAATTGTTTGATGGGTGTTGAAAACAATTTTACATTTATAATGGAATCCTGGAGACCTATATATGCAGAAAAGCATTTGCTGGAAGAATCTGATTGACATACCATACATAAGGGTACAGCAATGGCGTCTGGTCAGGCAGTTGAACCCACAGACTTCTGGTCCACTATTCCCTGCTATTGCCTTAATGTTTTGTTAAGCACAGACTATTGAAAAATTATGTAAGTAGGTTCACTTTTAATAAACTAAAACACAGTAAGCTGTATGTCTCAAATGTTGAACTACTTTTTATACTGTACAGGTAGTTCTCCACTTACAACGTATGCCACTTACGACCACTCGCACTGACGACAGCCATCCCCTTTATCGCATTACTGTACAGTACTGTATATAATTTTCATGTCCCGGCGTTTGGTCGTATCGTCTAACATTGATGACATCATCAGCCTGCGCAACACCATGCTGCCGCATGCTATTGTTTGGTTGGTTAGCAAGCAAATGGCTAGCAAGCAAAAAAGTGAGTGTTCGGGCCCAGTGTGCATTCAGTTGGCTACATTGTCAGCAACATATCACTCTGCAACTCACAACTGGCAACCCACTGAAGCTAAGCAGGTGTGAGCCTGGTCATTACCTGGATGGGAGACCTCCTGGGAAAAACTAAGGTTGCTGCTGGAAGAATTGTTAGTGGGGCCAGCAGGGGGTGTTCACCCTGCGGTCCATGTGGGTCCTAATGCCCCAGTAAAGTGACAGGGACACTATACTGTAAACAGGCGCCGTCCTTCGGATGAGATGTAAAACCGAGGTCCTGACTCTCTGTGGTCATCCCAGGGCGTTACTCGAAAAGAGTAGGGGTGTAACCCTGGCATCCTGGCCAAATTTCCCATTGGCCCTTACCAATCATGGCCTCCTTATAATCCCCATCTATGAATTGGCTACATTACTCTGCTCTCCTCCCTGCTGAGAGCTGATGTGTAGGGAGCGTTCTGGCGCACTATGGCTGCCGTCACATCATCCAGGTGGATGCTGCACACTGGTGGGGGTGGAGGGGAGTCCCCATTACCTGTAAAGCGCTTTGAGTGGAGTGTCCAGAAAAGTGCTATATAAGTGTAAGCAATTATTATTATTAATTAATTATTACATTAACGGTAAGTGCAAAGCACCACTGTTTCATTCATTTTTCATTATTTACTACTTTTAGTGTATTTCATTTTATTATTCCTACATTGTATTATTTTACCATGAGTAAAGAGCAAATTTAGTGAAAAAATGTAACCGAGCCATATTACACAATGTAGCATTTATGCATTAATTCTTTATGCATCTGTATGGTTAGTGTAGTATCGCGATATACACGATCGTGATTTTTGACTTATGACGAAATTGACAGGTAGTCCTCAACTTACGACAGGGTCTACCCGTATATGAAATTCTTTAATTTGATACTTGAAATTTAATGTAAGATGTGACATTCTCTTGCTTGTCAATTCACATGCTTAATGATAATCTTGTACTACATGTAGTGTCCTAGGAAAAGCATATTATCTAAAAAATTATACAGGTGATGATAACTGTTAACCACATCCAGCCTGGGAAACAATCTGGTGCAGAAGACACAACCTTTTGAAGTGTTCACCTACTGTATGTTGCAAGTTCTGGGCTCAGAAGCCTGGGTTTGATATCTACAGGATAGTGTTTTTTTCTGTCTGTAAAACTGTCGACCAAGAAAATGGACCTGCATATGTACTGTGTATGAGAGCAGAGAGGAGTTTTCCCTCAAATGAGACAGCACAGGAGGCCTCCCGTTGAGGGGCTGACCTCACTCTGAGCCTTGCTCAGTCTCTGTGATCTGACGAGAGCTGAGGCCAAGGTGGTATGGCTACAGGCGCTGGAATGATGTCAGCACCTATTTTTGTCAGATAGCAAAAGCTGGATCAGCACTAGAGATGGAGAAAAATGTGAAAGAAGCAGGGTTCCAAACCTTGTCACACAGTGTAGGAGTACAATACATATGTAAAAACACAAAAGAAGAAGAACTTTAATAAAAAAAAGTAATTTTTAGCTTCTCTGTAAAAACAAGCACAAAAGGCTGTTTAAAACGCTTTCAGCAAAAGCAGAAGACAAAGGGTAGGAAATATGCACCAATAACTCCAGTTCAAAAATTGTTTGTTTTCTGTAGTTACAGTACACATACCTGTAGTACAGTAGTGAATGTTCTACAGAAACATGTATCATACTCTGCGCATCCAAAACAAATTTTGCAGGACAATACTGAAAGCAATGAACTACAACTCAGAGAATAAAGCACTAAATTGTCATAAAGGGAATAAGAAAATTGCCAAATTTCTTATACAATGAAGCTATGAAATTACAACAAAGGTCTTAAAAATATCTCAGGAATTACATTTCAAGTTATATTTAAAAGATTTTGTAAAAGTTAACAATTTTCAAACTATTCAAAGAGGAAACAATTTCTGTCTCAAGAACATTTAGTACAGGTATATAGCCACCAAAATCATACATAAAAACAGATTTAAAAAAATTACATTTAAGATACACTACTATCAACTTTAGAATATTATGATCTAAAAAAGAAAATCACAAATGTCCCAAATAAGTGTACCGCTCTGTGTTTAAGGTCTATTTGTAAATAAAGGTCTGATTAATTCACAAATACCTCGAAACCTAACCCTTCCCAAGTCAAGCGTTGCATTACAGTATGAAAAATATTTAAATAGTCCTTTTCTGCACGAAACGGGTATTAAATCATGCCTGTGGTGGAAGGAGAATCCTTGGCAGAGCCTTTCGACACACCCCAACTCCCTGCTCTGCTCAGCGGTGCGAACATCACATATAGGTCTTTGTTTAGATCAGAATGGGGGTCTGCGCCAGTATGCGAGCTGCAAAGGAGCGAGAAAAAAGAAAAAAACATCACGGCGGTGAAGCCTTCTTCAAACACGTGAAGAAGACTTCACAGCCGAAACATTATTTTTCCTTTCTCTTTTCATTGTCCAGCAGGGAATTCATCAATACTTGTTCCTTTGTTTAGAGCAGTTCAGCCTCATTAACATTAAGTTGTCTGTTTTGAGGTTGAGGAAAACAATATAATAATACATCTCAAAGCACTTTGTCTCCCGAAGTCATTTTGTAGTTAGATTTTTTGTGCATCTTGCTGTCTTGGGTTTTACTGTTAAGGGTGTTGGCTGCCTGCTGTAGGGTACGACTGTAGGACTGACCAGCCTGGCATTTCAGAAGATGTAAGCTGTGTTGTAGTCAAATACCCAGAGAGAAGCAGCTTGTTTTCTTCCCAGTGCATACATATAAAGAGAGAATATTTTTACAGCAGGCCCAGACATACTGTAACAATAAGTCCCCCAGGCCGCTTTGCTTATGGATAAAAAAGGGTCGATGGTTCATTTTTAAGACTGGGTGGTGGTTGAATATGAAAAAGAAGAGTCTGTCTTTAGGGTGAAACAGAGAGACTCACAGGAGACATATTTAATGGACTGTTGGAATCTGATTAAAAGTTAATATAGTTTTGATGCATCAGTTGATGCATCAATTTAGAGCAGATAAAATACTTTAAGCAGTTCAACAATTGAGCACCTTTGTTATATATACAGTAATTAATAGCACCTAAATACAATAACTGTTTAATTTGAAGCCTTTTCTATGTTTTATATAATTGTGTGATATGTGATATTAATTGCTTAGTGATAGCATTTAACAAATACCTACTGTATAATGTAAAACATTGTTGTAGGTTCTTAAAAACAAGACAGTGGTGCCTCTCTTTGGTTGGACCTGAGATGATGTGTTTGCATTACAACCTTCAGTTTCTTCAAAATAAATCAATAATTCAGTCCCCTTTCAAACTGATTTTGATAGAGACAACAATCCAAATGCAATCCCAAATGTGCAGCTGACATAACAGAAACTACAAATACATTTGCAGCACACAGCTGTGTCTTTGCAGAATAGGGCCATATGAGCTAGTTACAACATGAGCATGTTCCCCTCAGCTCAAAATGTCCTGAAGTAACCCACAGGCTTATTATTCCAGAGCAACACAGCAAGGAATGTGGGTAAAGTAAACATGTTCTGAACATCTTGATGACATTCTACTCCTGGCACTGAGACGGTACCATTACTCGTTTTCAGAAGGTGTGGAAGCCACTTATCCTGAGACGTGACAAACCCCAGCAGGGGAGGCATCCTTTTGTCAGACAGTGATCACACTCAGGTAATGAACAATTGCGCACGTGGATTTAGGCCACAATGCGTAAGGAGAAAGAAAACACCTCTATATTAATTAAAAGCAGATCCAGATGTTTTGTTAAAATGTCTTGATTTGTTGAATTGTTTAGTTTTAGGCTTTTCTGTAATTTGAATCTGTAAACGTCTTTGTAGATATATTTTGAGATATAAGTATGACCCTAGTAAATGCGAATGCGCCTTCTTCATTAGGAAGGATTTAAATTATGCTTTTCTGGTCTGTAGCCATAATCTGCAAGATCCCATGTATCTTAGAACAGCAGATAGCTATGGGAGGTTATCAAGGACTGTGTCTTACCCAGAGACATCCATTATGTAAGTCTGCACAATTTAAATTGAAGCACAGAAGTATGATTGCATTGAATAGCCTAGTTTATACAAGCAAAATTTCCTGATACACCCTTCACACTCCTTAGAAAGCATGAGGAAGGGCGGTGATGTCACCGCGCTGGCAAGCTGGCTCGCACAACCTGTAATGTCGGCCATATGCCTTATATTAATAACCCAATACAAAATACAAAAGCTGACTGCCCAACAGTGCTAATG